TGAATCACGCAACAGAGGGTTGATGTGCGATTCCGCTTGATTATAACGCCGCTGCGCCTGTTGTTTTACGTAATCCCTTAGATATGGGATATCAAGATCTCTGTGAATAGTCTCATTTGACACGTACCAAGGGGCGTTAGTAATTGTGCGTAGGGTTCTGTTTTGCAGGACTTGCAGTCTCTGCATGTGCGTCTTGGCAAGAAAACACCAAGCCGCGCATGCGTAGGTGATTGCGGGTCTTATGAACATTTTATACAACCGAAGCTTGTTGATCAAACTTAATTATAAATTTCTGCACAACAAAGGATAAAGCTGCCGAAAGGTAATTTGGAATATCACGTCAGGAATCACATGGTGATCTGACGAGAAATTCTCAAGGTGACGATAAATCACCTTTTCAGTGAGCTTAGAAGGAGCTGGTGTGCAAAACGGAATCTCAGATGATTCCGTTGATGTGCTATGCTGAGATTCATCTGAAGAGTCTTCCGTAGAAGAATCTTATGAAAAGGAGTCACCGATGCTAGCACCGATGTTGGTATCGCCATTTGCTCTGAAGTATCTCCTGAGAGATCTTACAATTTGTCGTTTCTCGTCAAGGTCATTGCCCAGATCATAATTGGAAGAGAACTGCCTTTCCATGACGACCCCGCCAGAAAGTTGCTCCACTGCTCATTGCGGAATTCATGGAGTGCATTTCTCACTTTATGGACGAGATTCGTCGCTCTACGAATCTCATCAGGATGACCTCCCATCGTCCTTACATATCGAAAATCATCAAAGCTCAAAATAATCATGGACTGTGCAATGGAGCACTCCGCAAACCCATTATTTTGGAAGCACAGTATTGATTCGAGCTTCCAGGAGACCGGCCAATTTTATTTCTGGCGGAAAATTTTTCATTCTACTTTATATTCACGTTGGTCTATTATTGCTCTTTAAATTGTAGATCTGCACCACTAACCAGCACATATCTAAACAGCATAACTGTAAAATAAACGCTTAAAGAAAAACAGTTCGGATTGTAGGATTTAGTTTGCATATAAACAACTCCATGGACGGAATGCACAGTTTATGGCTTGATTACAGCTATAATCATCCTGCAGACCAAGCAGGAGCTCGCAGACCACAGCGATAATTGCATTGCGAGTGTTAATTGTCACTGTCAAACTGTTTAAAAACTTCGCAGAAACTGCTGAATACAAAATTATGGCCGTAAAAGCAAATCGATTACCCACCAGCACTCTTTTAACGTACGTACGATAATGCCGGGTGCTTTAAAATCGTAGGTGGCATAGCAAGAATGATCGCCTTTCATGTCGGTTGACGCTTTATGTGGCATTCGGGTAATAATCTTCATGATTTAGAAGCTAGCTAGGATATTGGCAACATGTCCCGATCCATGGACGCAACTCGCAAAGGAAAAGTAATATGGACAAAAATATAGAGACCTGGATACTTACTTCTAAACAGCACTACAATCCTGGGTGCGTATCACTGACATCACAAAGTTCTTCATCTGGTGTGATCTTCATCAACGCTGTGTCCAGTTTGTTCTTGTTAAATGTGACTTGATATTATCCCTCCACATCTCAGATGGGGGCGAAGTAACTACTTTAACTAACTTTAGCATTGTTGAGCATTTGAACGTGACCAGCCCATCTCAATCGCTGTGCTTCAATTTCTTAGACAATATCACGATCCCCAAGCAACTGCTTGATTTCGATGTTTGTTTGTGTTTTGGTCACAGAGAAATGTCTGCGTTCGGAACGCGTTCTTCATTGGCTTTCGTCAGCGTTCTCGTTCAATATACAGGGTGTTCCTCAATGATATGCGAATATTTAAGGGTGTGAATCTACATGAAAAATTGATGTTAGTTTGCTTTATAAACTGTGGTCCAAAAATGTTTCCTTACAAAAACTCGGAGCGTTGAAGTTTTAGGAAAAACATGGAAATAAATAATTAAGGTTTTCAGAACCGCTTGGAGAATATTCGCATATCATTAAGGAACACCCTGTACATACATCGCAGTGTCTCGACTGTTAGAGGAACGTGTAGATTATTTAGGGGGCATAGGTTCGCAGATTGGATTCTGGCTTTGATCTCAGTGATGTCATTGTCGGCAGTGATCGTTGCTTCAAGATACTTGAAACGCTCATCTCAAAGTTATAGGATTTTCTTGTTACATTTTCCCTATTCTGTCCCAAAACCCTATTCAGACAAGAATAATTACTAAAATCCTCCAAAGTCACAGTGAGAACAATACCGAATTACTATTTGGCGGTTTTGGGTACCTCTGACAGCAATAACTGATGACAGGCTGAAGGGCTACCCGGAATTCAAAAATATTACGGGTATCACAGCTGATGGACTGCCAAAAAAAAGTGTTATACGAGGCGGTACCCAAAAATAACCGGAATAGCATTGCAGTGGGCGGAGCTTGTGTAGTGCAATTTTTGCCCCTAGAGGCGTATAGCGCCACCTGAGTTGTCGATCTGGCTGGTTGTGTTCCTCTGTAGTCATTATTTTTCCTAGATCTGTTTCGTGCTTGTTTCGTTTCGTTTCGTTGGCAAGCTTCAGAGAGCAACGTGCAGATGTGAAATTTTGCTTTCTAATTGGTAAAAATGCTGCTGAAACTGTTTTAATGTTGAAAATAGCTTACAAAGATGATGCTATGGAAAAACTCAGGTGTACGAGTGGTTTGCTCGATTTAAAAATTTATTATATATATAGGGTGACTTCGAAGTTGAGTCATTTATTTTAACAGTGAGTAGATCTGATCAAAAGAAATGTTTTTTTCCTTTACCATTTTCCTGGTAAAATTAAAGTAACAAAGTTATAGCCCTTTGGAAGTTTGAGTACCGCCCTGTCTCAATAATAATATTATGTGCTCGTGTTTGGCGACAACGGATAGAATCCGCCGTATCGGTTCATCGCATCGGAAACAAAAAAGCGAATGAATTTGGAACGATGTTTTTACAATTATTTTATTCATTTGTATACAGTCAGTGTCAGTGAATAGTAGTGTCTGTTGCGTGGCTCAAACGAAATAAAAAATGGCACATGTTTATGCGGATCGGTTTCCCAATCGAGTGCAACCAACCCCTCGTGCCTTTGTTAATGTAGTAGAACGGGCTCGTGAGTCAGGTGACTTAAGATCACACAGGGGACTGCATGCCGGTGCTCCAAGACCTCATGATCAAATACAGGTCCGCACTGAAATACTTGTCGGGAGGATACTTTATAAAACAAGGTAAAAAAAATGTTTTAATTGTTTTTTAATTTTTACACACATATTTTGGTTTATCTTCCTTCTACAGTCATTATCTGAAAATTAATGACTCAACTTTAAAGTATATGTATAATTGTGTAGTTTTGAGACTTTTATATTTCCTTTGTATATTAATTACTTCAGGTTTGTACTATGTTAACTTCTGTTCTCCCACCAATAATTGGTTTATCTGTTGGTAGTGTAAATAAATAAATAAAAATAAAAATAAATAAATATTAACCTGGCTCCGTGCAACTTTTTCTTATTTCCACGGATGAAAAGGGGCATAAAAGGATGCCGGCATTCATGAGGTCAAGGAAGACTTCAAAAAATGTTTCGAGCAGTGGAAGCACCGGTGGGACAAGTGTAGTAGTTTTAGTGGCCAGTGTTTTGAAGGAGATAAGATTATTTTGTGAAAAAGTTCAAACTAAATAGCTTTTAAAAAATAATTCCGGTTTTTGTTGCCCTTGAACGTGGATCATCATCTAAGTCAAATAAACTACGTTTAAGATTTGAATATTACTTCTCGTCGTCACGTTGCGTTTACATCGTAAGTAGAGACCACTTTTTCATGAGCATCCATTACACTTCGACGCCTACTGAGGTGCACAGCTGATCAGCAAGTGGCATCTTTGTACTAAAGCATATAATATTCTGGCAATATGATGTGAATCGATTAAAAATCATCAATTTTTATACCAAAAACAGTCATAAAATGCGTATCTTCTCTTACTGCTACGTGACTTGAAATGTAATCATGACCTTTAGCAACCGTTTTGCTGGTAGCGTTTTTTCTTGTGTGCGTGTGTACTTTTCTAGTTATTAGGAGGTATAAATCCGTACAAACTACGGCGCTGTCTTCAGACTTAGCGTTTATAGATCCGTCAGAATTGTGTCCCACTTGTCGATATGGAGTCGATTTTGACATGTTACTAAATAATGAGATAGTATTTGCTCTCACATTTGACGTAAAAGATACTAGTAAAAAAGGTTTATATGTATAGCGTATAACCACGAATAGTACACGATTCAAACGGGCAAAGAACAGTATTTAAACACAGAACTATAGTGACACAAAGAACGACTCATAGGCTGATTGTTTTTTACGTTGTACTTAGACTAGCCAAGGCGGTTAACTTTATAATAATGTAAACATAATCTGGCTGCGTTGTATTTCATTATTATCAAGCTGACTCATCTCTGTGTATCGAAAATGCGATTGTTTAGCAGCGTTTGCAACCGTGCATAGCTGTCCTAAAACAAAAATTTATTCTTGGGAGCATTTGCATGCTATGGTCAGCACAGAGGTAACTATGCACGCCTTGATTGGCGGGACGTACAAGTAGCTTAGTGCCAACTGAAAATGAGTCCCCTAAAATGGAAGAACTACTTGGCTTTGGTTTGAATTCGTCCAGCCGCGGAAGTCATATCTGGAAAACCCTGTATCCTCTCCAGACTGATAAGTATTACAAAAATGAAAAACATAGACTATTTACAGAAAACCTCTCAATAACAAAACCACTATCACCCCGTTCAAGGAAGATCACCGCGTGGAATTTCAAAAAACAACCATTACGTTCAAAAAATTCTACGTCATATATTATCTCAGCAACAGTTTAACTGCACTTTATTAGATTTTGCACTTGTTATCTATTCTCATAGATTGACCTAATTACAATCGATCAAGCAAGTAGTGCATTCTACTAGCGTCGATCAGTACCGTATCAGTTTATCGATATCGCTGGCCCGCTATAAGCCGACTCGAGTATTTTCAACTAAATGACAATTAATATAAGATCTAATTTTGCGTAAATGAACAAAATAAACTCAGAAAACGATTTATATGCTCGACAAATCTATAATTTGTTATAAATATGAAATACATTTTAATTGTTGTTTAGTAGTTTGACAACATTTGTGCGGTGCGCGCGGGCTGGTTTTCGGAAATTAATCCTTTCGCAACGACTCAGGCTGTGATATGAATAGTGAAAAGTGTACTTTTAGAGTGAACGTAAAATTCTTCGGTTGGATTTTGCTTTAAATGAAACGATAAGTGTGTCAAACTAAATGTTAAAAGTTCTTGCTAATTGCAGTTGGATTGTTAATTACTGCTGGGAGAAAAAATGCAAAATGTGTGTCTGTGAGTCCGGTATGAGATCTTGGATCGAGATTTTCTTTAGCTGCTAGGGACTGAGAATGTGTTACGCAACAAATCGTAAGGGGATATGGTTTTAGGGTGTTTGGAACGAAGGCAGAAATACTTAGATGACTGATAATAGACAACATTCGGGACACATTAAGTGGTTTAAGTTTGACTTTGTACCAAGGCATAAGCGGATTTTAATGTGCTCCAAATGGGGTGTACTGTCAGCCATTGAAATGTTTATATCGATCTTCCGAACGCCCTGTCTATGATATTCAGTTAGATATAACATAAGAGTAATTCCAAATTCTTAAATACTTGTCAAGCTTGTCCAAGCGGCAAGAAAAACGTGTTGAATCATCCAAAATTTCTGGAAAGTACTATTTCCCTTCAATTTTTTTATTGAGTTGAATTTTTCAACTAGGAAAAAGGTTCCCTTGTAGCTATTTATTGGATCATTAATTTGGACAATTCGGATCATTATTCTCAAAGTCTGCTTGTAGTGTCTCGATTTTGTCCATATTCTTATTTCCATGAAGGTCAGCTTCCATTCTTAAAATCATTCTCTTGCAGGTTTATTGAAGGCAGAGTTGTACCTAGACAAAACCTGAACAAAATAAAGTTACAGTTAGAGTTAGAGCTTATAATAATGATTGAGCATAAAAGTTAGAAATACTGAAGTAGGACATAATTAAAAAAATTGCACGCCTATCAAAACCATTCTTCAAAGTTGTGATTGTTTTGGTCGTGTTTGAACAACATTTGTGAACACAGAATGTCTTAAAACTTTAAAACTGCTTGACTCAAGTTTCAGACTCTCTGTCTACAATCTTTTGAGCCTCCTTTTGTCTCCAGGTTGACCAGTTCCACCGTGGTATAAATGTCTTTTTATTTGACTTGCGTAATTGTATACTAACAACTTTGCCACAGCGCGGTTAATTTTTACCTTAGAGCCAAGTCAAGCCGGCAAGCGATTTGTTATTGTCGACTCAGAAAGTGCTAAGTAACGATTATGATTTTGTATATATGAATATATATCGTTAAAAGTTTAATGCCTTCACGGAGAAAAAGTGAAAGTTTAGTCGGGACGAAAATCTCCGTACAAAGATTGGCTAACGATACAAGTTTTTTGCGATGTAAAACTAGATAAAGCGGCACTATAAATTAGATTAATCAATAATAAAAGGAATAATAGGAAGCAGAGTTTCTAGGAAATTACATATAAACTATCTGCAGGAAACGCACCTACTAGTCAAATCGGTATGGTTTAAAAATGTCTACCTCTTTACTTTCCACATCACAGGCAACAATAAAAACGGAAAAGAACAACCCAGAGCTTAAAATATTTTTACGCGCAATAAGGACTGTTTCAGTGGAAATAAGATTCAGCTAGTGAATTTACGTGGAAACGCGGGCAAAGCGAATGTTCCGTTTTACAGCCAAACCATGAATGGTCCATCGCAAAAAAATAGATATACATATATATCCCTCTATAATTGGCATTCGGTTGTTTTTTACACCGCAGCAGCCGGGAAGCAGGAGCCTAAATGCTAGGGCACCGCGGCTGCTAGGAGGACCTACGAGAAACTTTGTTAATCCGATTTTTTAACTGTCTAAGGTTAGTAGAACCGGAAAAAGCTCCCTCATGTAGATTGTTCCACAATTTTGATACCCTAGAGATAAAGAAACGGTCGTATCGGCCAGTTCTGGACATACGAGTTGGACATGGTTAGTCCTATGAATAAGCAGGATTGAATGAATGGTTCTCGTAGACAACAAGAAAACTGCCAAATGTGTGGCATCGTACACAGGAATTGAGGCAAAAGTGGATAGTGTATTTACGCGTAACGTTCGTTTTGTTACTTTGTGCAAAACTGCGAATTGATAAAAACAACGACCATAATGTTCGCTGCCAGTGGTCTCATGAAGAATCACAAATTCTGTGATCCATATATTTTTACCCGACTGCCTCAAAGGAGGGTAATATTGTTCGCGCTTGGGTATGTATCTATGTATCAAAAAAATTCTATATCAAACGGCTCGACGAGTTTTGACATTTGGGATGATCTTGATATAACAATTAAAAAAGCAATCTTCTCAGTTAACGTAGTCGAGCTTCTGTATTTTTTTTAAATCTTCTCGTATGAAGACAGATAAGTCAAGAGTCATTTCAGATGTTGCCCCTAATTTTATATCAATTAACGTTGCTGTAACAATAGCTGAAAGCTTTTTCCGAAACCTATTTTTATAACACTGTTATGCCAAGCGCAACATGGTTGATTAGAAAAGTAAAGTTAATAGATAGTTTTCCGCCCCTGTCTATTCCTTCTACGAAATGTAGATGCAAAAGTAGTGAAGAATTTGCATCAAAGGCAACTCACGCAAGCTGAGCTTGCTCATACGGAAAAACAAAATTATGCATACAAAAACGCACAGATCTAATTATACTCATCACTAATAATACATATTCGCTTCCTTTGTACGTACGAGAGGTCGCTATATATAAATAAAGCTTATACACACGGCGGGTTAAATATATGTAATGAAAAAAATGACAAGTTACCTTTCATAAAAAATAACCAAGTATAAAACAAACAAAATGCGGTCGCTGGTTGCGATTGCAATGCGTGAAATTAACTGAAATTAATATAATTAGATAAGCAGAGGCTCCATTGTGTCAGTCGAGGGCGTTTAACAGAAAAGTCTGAGAAATATATTAATGCCTCGTCGAATAGATAATATACCACTAGAACTGGCGATATTCAACTATCGAAAACGATCTGACCGTCATCTAATTCCGTGCTCAGCGTACTCTAATTTTATTGTCCGCGAGTCAAAAAGGTCAAGGTTGCCAGCTAAGGGGTTAGGCCTATAAATTTCTAGGTATAACTTATGAAAGAGTCTCAATCCTTCAATTCAATACTTTATATTTTTTCTTCGTTTAAAACTACTATCCAAGCTCTTCCAAACATTAATGATGTAATTAGCATTCAGATAACTTGTACCGTAAACGTGTAACACAGACACTTGCATTATGTCACCCAGGAATAATCGACTAGATCACAATGTATTGTGCAGAGTAGGATGTGATATAAACTGACCTCAACGGACAACATTGAGATATTAATGAAGATATATGTGATACTATTACCCATGATCTCATTGGACTACTCAAAATGTGATTCAACCGTATAGCCTTACGCTCTAAAAATGTACGGAACCTCATACTCAGAAGCTTCATCAAGCAGTGCAGCAATGGCAGCTAACACCACCACCACCTGGTCCAACAGCAGCTCAAATCCGCCCATGTATGGAACAAATCCGGCTACTGGACACCATCTGCCTCTACCTTATACCACATTTGATCCAGGGCCAAGTACCTCATCTGTTTATCCACAGCACTCTATGTTCCAGTTCGCGCCTTACCCGGCTATGCATATGCCTTTTGACTATCCACAGGTATGAAAGATTGAGATGAACATGTTCATGTTCACACATCAAAATCGTTTCATCGACAAGGTCGATTCGCAAGAACTTGTAATTCAATATGCAGGGTGTTTCAGTTTATTGTTGCATAACTTTAAGATTCGATAAAACTTTTAAAATTAATGCATAAAGTATATAAAAACATGGGTCGAAAAATGCGTGGCTTCCGAAATACAGGGTGTTTAAATTTACTTTCTAAAATGTTTTTTTTTAAATATTTCGAACAATATTTGATATATAACAGTGAAAATTGCTATACAAGGGTTTTTTGGTACGACAAAACGAACCATGGGCATAGTTTTACTGTAGCCGCTAGAGGGCGCTCTCTACTGTACCTGTAGTGTATTAAAATGACCGAAAAATTTTTCTCAGTGCAATTTTTTGCTTTTTGAATAAAAAAACTGATTCTTCGCACTTTTCAACATAAAAAAGCTCTCTTGTGAATATTCGTTATAGTTAGCCGTTTTTGAGATATTTCGATTTTTAAGGTTCGATGCATTTTTAATTATCTATGATAAAATCACGTTAAAGTCAGTATCTCGATAATTTTAAGAAGTAGGCTGTGCCTGCAAATATTTTTGAAATTGAAAGCAGAATAAGGTTAAACGTCAATTCGTTGACAGTTAGTTTTGTTGTCTGTTGAAACCTGAAAAGTTTTTTTGCAATTGTGAATGCAAGAAATTTTAGTTTCCTTTACCTGTTTTTTTTTTGTAAGTTTTATAAAAATGCCATTTTTATTTTCCAATCAAGAGCTAGCGGATATTCATTTTGTGTATGGCTTTGTAAATGGAAACGCAGCAGAAGCAGCCAGAGAATACGCACGAAGATTTCCAAACAGACGACATCCAACTTGCTCAGTATTTGTAAGAGTGCAACGCCAAATAATTGAAAATGGTTTTTGGAAATCTCCAAAGGGATCAAAACATAAATGTTCGTCAGCGCAGATTTACCCGTATGATTCTGCGTGAGTTTGATAGAGATCCAACCACAAGTGTTAGGAGAGTTTCTGGTGCCTTGGGAATTTCAGCAAGCCATGTTCACCGTGTTCTCAGAAATGACCATAGACGTCCTTACCGTTTGCAACCTGTGCAAGGAGTACAGCCAGGGGATGGAGAACGAATAATCACATTTTGTCAGTGGATTCTTGATGGAACTGATAATAATAGAGAGTTTTTAAGTAACGTTTTATGGACCGATGAGTCATGGTTCACTAGACGTGGACTGGTAAATTTTCATAATCAACATATTTGGTCGCATGAAAATCCGCATGCAGTTCGGGAAAGAAATTTTCAGCATGAATTTAGTGTGAACGTGTGGATTGGTATCTACCGTAATCGACTATTTGGACGCCTTTTGCCTGCAAGGTTAAATGCTGCGACCTTCTTGGAATTTTTAAATGCTGAACATGCAAATATATGGGATGATGTTATGTTAGATTTAAGAAGATTGGCCTGGTTCCAGCTTAATGGTTGTCCAGCTCATTATTCGAGAATAGTTAGAAACTGGCTGGACGAAAATTATCCGGAAAGATGGATCGGCCGTGGAGGACCAGTCGCCTGGCCTCCACGATCCCCTCACCTAAATCCATTAGATTTCTTTGTGTGGGGATTTCTAAAAGAAAAAGTGTACCAGACTCCCGTAACCACAAGAGATATGCTAATAGACAGAATCAGGAATGCATGTGATGCCTTATTTGAATAGTGCTATACCACGTTCGATCATTCGTAGATGTGAATTGTGTATTGAACAATTGGGTTTACATTTCGAGCAACTACTTTAGATTTTGTATGTTTGTCCTAATTATCCAATAGCATTTTAGTTGTAAATAATTAATTTAATTTGTTAAAAATAATATTGGAAAATTAAACAAATTAATATTCTGTTTTTTTGTGTTTATTTGGAGTTAGGAATTATTGCTGTATTTAAAAACACAATCTAAACGATCATCTTAATTACTTGTAATACCCAAATCGGAAATGTAAAAAAATATTATTTTCCCATAAATAATTAAAAGTGCATCGACCCTAAAAATCGAAATATCTCAAAAACCCATAACGAAAACTCACAGGAGAGCTTTTTTATGTTGAAAAGTGCGGGTAATCAGTTTTTTTAATCAAAAAGCACAAAATAGCACTAAGAAAAAATTTTAATACACTACAGGTACAGTAGAGAGCGCCCTCTAGCGGCTACAGTAAAACTATGCTCATGGTTCGTTTTGTCGTACCAAAAAACCCTTGTATACCAATTTTCACTGTTATTTCGGAAGCCACGCATTTTTCGACCCATGTTTATAAAGACTTTATGCATTAATTTTAAAAGTTCTATCGAATCTTAAAGTTATGCAACAATAAACTGAAACACCCTGAATATCTAATCCTTGCAAAGAAGTATGAAACATAGTTAAATGTAGTATTATTCTTAGCTCCGTAATATAAGTGCGGGTATTCCACAAGGATGGGTTTTAATTCCAATATTGTAAGGAATTTGATATAAATTTTAGCTACGTTCTACGCCTTCTCGGAAATGTCAGTTTACCATTGTCAAAGTTGCCAAATCTGACATGTTGTTTACTGGAAAATTCTTCGCTATTTCTTGTTGCATTTTGGCTTTGTTTCGTTGTTTGAATTCATTTAGAACACACAAGTAGTACTACCTTATTTTTATACCCGAATAAAAAACAACTTGTACGTTTCAAAAATTCAGGGTAAGGCAACTGGTGTTGGTAAATACCCCTTGATAGCCGCAACAAACTTCCGAAAGTTTTTTCACGTTTCCCAACTCCCACAAATATCAGCGTCCATTCTGCTCGAATATCTGCAGAACTTTTTAACCCGTCCGCTCCTCGTTTTTCCATTCCCGCCGTTTTTAATCACAGCTTTCTGGATTTCAAGGCTCAGGTACCTGCTCCTGCTTTAATTCGTCATTATTAAAATAATGTTCCACTTTTAATATTTCATTAGGATCCGAATGTTTTTTTTTCCGTCCTCTCGTTCCTTTATTTTTGAGCGGAGACTTTCTGGCCTCTTCAAGTCTACTCGACGAGTAAAATTTTACGTAAAACTCATTAATTTCGATAAATTGGATGAAACAAAGTTTTCTTTGAAAGATGGTCATTGAGGAAGACTAGCTCAAGCATCTGAGATAACTATTTCAAATTTTCGCGTCTTATTAGAATAATGAGAATAGATGAAAACTTATAGACGCACCACTTGGAATTTGTCACTCAGATTTTCTGTATTTCAGTAGCCGCAACTACAAAAAGGATGCTGCGGTACTAACATTCTCTTTTGAAAACATTGTTTCAAAAACTGGCCAAAAAGACATTCTGAAAAAAAGGATAATCCCCAAGATTACGTCACTCACATCTGCCCCATGTCCGATTTATACAGGTTTTTCTAGCAATAAAATAGTTACGCGTCTTTAGTTGCTATGTAAAATCATCGTCATCTAGTAACACGCGATCCTGCCATGCTTGATAACTGCTCTATTACAGCTTTAAACATCTGCCTTCATTTGTCCGCAAAATAGCTTGGAAGCTCATTAAGGTTATCAAATTTTGTGTGTGGGGGTTACGTATAATGTAGCGACAGCTATTTTCTGCTGAAATTCACACCGTTTTCAATCATACACGGCAGATTGTGATTGAACTATCAAGAAGTGTATGCCGCTAGAACAGATCTAATGCACTTCTGCAACACTGCCTTGATGCAATATGCGGGTCAGTCATACGGATTTTATTTGTGGGGTGTGGATACCGTAATGTGGTGTCGAACATGGGAATTGCATCGAAAATGGACTAGCCACAAAACAATTCAGTTTCAGCAATTTAAAAACTTTTCCGGCAAAACTACCAGAGGATTGGACAACTAAATATACTAAGTGACGTATAAATCCGAACACCCAGTTTAAATGGTTTTATTTTAATAATATTTTGTATAAGTACTTAATGAAGCATAATAAGTAAATGATAAAAATTTCAAAATGATTGCACTGCTTTAAAGCCCTTTGACCTTTAATAATGTGTGGATGCACCCTGATGTGCTACGCATTCTTCAACGCGCCTAGGCATGCTTCTGATCAGGTGGTCAATGTCCTCCTGTGGTATCTCATTCCAGGCAACCACCAACTCCTCTCGAAGTGCTTCTAGAGTCTGAGGAGGACGTTGCAAATTGAGCAATCTCCTACCCATCATATCCCACACGTGCTCAATTGGGGATAAGTCGGGAGATCTTGGTGGCCATGGTAACAATGTGACATCATTATGTTGAAAGAAGTCTATTGTGACTCTTGCAACATGTGGTCGGGCATTATCTTGTTGGAAAGTTGGATCTGCCAGGGTGTCAAGATAGGGTAAAAGATGGGGTTCTAGAACTTCGTGGATATAACGCTGCGCGTTCATGTTACCTCTGATGAAGATTAAAGGTGACCTGGAACCATAAGCTATAGCACCCCAAACCATAACTCCAACAGAGTGATGAACATGTCTTTCAACAAAAAACTGTGGATTCCTCCTTTCACCACGTCGCCTTCTAACCGTGGCACGACCATCGTGCATGCCTAAACAAAATCGAGACTCGTCACTAAAGACAATACTGTTCCATTCCTGATCCCAGAGTGACCGTTGTCTGCATCACTCAAGGCGATTACGTCGGTGTTCTCGAGTTAAAGGGAGGACCCAGTGTGGCCGGTATGAAAACAAGCCAAAACTTCTCATTCGTCGGTAAACACTTCGCATGCCAATAGGTCTTCCGTGTTCTGCAAACCATTCATTTGCAATGGATCTGGTAGTGGAGAAACGGTCCCTTAAGGCCAATAATCTTAGGCGGCGATCTTCACGGTCTGTTGTTCTACGGCGGCGTCCAGTGCCCCTTGCTCTTTGCGTACGGCCTTCTCGAAGCCATGCCTAACAACACCTAACCACAGTGTCTACACTTCTTTGCACTCTAACTGCAATTGCCCGAAAAGAAAGTCCA